ATTTATTTATTTATTTATTTATTTATTGGTACTGGGAATCGAATTTAGGACCTTGTGCTTGCCCGGCAGGTGCTTGTGCCACTGAGCTATATCCCTGGCCAAAATATTTTAAAAATAAAGAAATTAGATACAAAATTCTCATTCTTTTTTTCCTAAATAGTAGTTGATAATGCTGAGTAGCTGTTCCTTGTAGAGAAATGATGTCTGTTCCTCTTCAGCACAATCCCCACCAGTCTACACTGCGTCACACTCTGCTCCTTTCACTCACTTGTGTCACTAGCTGGCCCCATAGACATTTGAATTTGCAACTTCTGGCCCCGATCGTATTTTCTTTGTAGAACATTATAGAGATTTCAAAACCTAGCACCCTTTCTCCAAAAAAGTGAAAACAAAAGACAAATAGCCACCTATCAAATTTTTTCAAAATCTCTAAGGAATGAAAATTACATATGAAAATACATACACATTTATACACCCTATATGTACACCAATATAGATAGGTGTGCATGAGTGTGTGTGTGTGTATATACACATATGAACACACATATTTATACACATGCATGCTCAGTGGAGGCGATACTGTACTACTGTACAGTATAAAGTTGTGAACCCAAAGTCGGAAGATTTAACAGGGTCCTTTTCACAAATATCTAACTACCTAGAAGGCTTGGTATTTCAGCAAAGCCTTTAAATGTCTTGCATCTGCAACTGCAGAACAAGCAGGCTAGCCTAGATATCAGCGGCTCTAGCTCTGAAATTCACTGATTCTAGACTCTTCATTAAGAGAAACAGATAAGTGACACACGGATGCATAAAATTAGAGTTTATAGAAGGAGAAAAAACACCTTACTTCATCATTTGTTAATTTAAGAAATAAGTCTCCAAGGACTCCTTGGCGTGGCCATTTCAGGACCCTTTCCTGCAGGGCGTGAAGCAAATCCAGGTGCTGCTGGACAAGGTAGCGTAAAGAGCCGGGGAAGAGGCTTGAAATAGAACAGAGAAAGAATCACACAAACCGGGCAGGCCTTACCAGGAGAGAAGCAGCAGGCTCCACTTTTGCAGTCATTCAACAATACTCCTGAATCACAGGTCTGAACTTAGGATCCTTTTTTTCCTTCTTATTTGTCTTTCTATCTTTCTTTCTCTCTTCTTTGCAGTACTGGGGTGCAAACACATGCCAGGCCAGTGGTCTACCGCTGAGCTACACCCTCATCCCTTTTCCTATTTTATTTATTTTATTTTGAGACAAGGCCTCACCAAGTTGCCCAGACTGAGCTCCAACTTGTGATCTTCCTGCCTCGGCCTCCAAGTATGCATGACTTGCACTTAGGAATTTTTTTTAAGAGTGACTCTAGACCTCACAACAAATACCCTCAGATCATAAAAAGACTGCTTTCCCGATAGCCCCTATACAAATGTGCATTAACCAAATAGAGTACATTACTTGACTGACCACTTTAAAGCTAACCTGTGACACCCTCACCTAACGTTACACTCAGTAGAATTCTCAGGGAAATATTTTTCAATGTTTTAACCAATTGAATGTGCATGTTATTCTAGTTTGTAGGGTAGATGATAGCATTTACAGTGGTAGTTGGTTATTCTTAATCAGTGACTAGGAGATTGCCACATAAGCAGGAAAAATCATTCACAGTGGACAACTAGTCGCTGAAGGAATTGGGGACAAACGAGAGGGTTCCTTTCCCCTTGCTTGCAGTTTCCAAGAGGCATACTAGGTAAGACAGAGTCTTTCCTTGGGAGGCTAGACATCAAGTCTGGCTTGCTACTCCCTGGAGTTTCACAGAACCCCCTTCCCACCCTGAAAGCCCTCTCTTCTACATCTTCTCTTCTTTGTGTGTGTGTTAAACTTTATTGGTACATTTTCAAATGCATTCATGACTCCCTTCTACTTCTTAATGTGACTCATTATTTTTTCCAGAGGAAATGAAGGGAGAAAGAGAGAAGCCAGAGAAGGGTAGGAAGGAGAAGAGAATGGGCAAGAAAACCATAGGGGGAAGGAGAGGGAGCCTGGACGGACAAGAGGGGGTGACCAGGGGCCCACAGGAATGAGGATCTCAGCCAGCGATGGCGAACCTTTTCGAACTTCCCATGATACAAACATCCCACTGCAGCCTGCGTGCCATAGGTTCACCACCACTGGCCTGAACTCTAACTTCGGGACAGAGGGACATGGGAAATAGGCTCCTATGTGCTTTTCAACACAACAAACTTAACTAAGATAAAAATGAGAGCGGCGAGTTGAACTTACTTAAATATTTCCCTAGAGTTTAGTGAGAGTCAAGTAGACAATAGCAAGCCTTTGCTGGAAAGGGAGAGAGGAAATAAGATTGAGGGAGTATTTTTTCAACCCATTTCCAAGCAAAACAAAGACCTCCTTCCACCTGTAGCTCAGAGAAGATGCAGGAACACCACGACAGGGTGCGGGGAAGCCTTTCACTCCTGCATTTCATTCTTATCCCCTACCTCCTGTTCGGTAAGTCTCCACATACGGAAAGCTAGCGGGTCCTGAACACAAGAGGAAAGAACACTTGATGTGAGCTCTTACAGACTGTTATGGGTTTGAAGATATATAACTCTTACAGGTAGAGTTATGAGCTTGGAAGAGCTAAGTAACCCCTGTCTAGACCAGGGGGAAATTTGGAGGGGTGAATAGAAGACCCATGGGCTGGGACAAAACCAGTATAGATGATTGTACTGAAGGAACAAAACATTACATCAGCAAAAGATCTAGTGCAAAGGTTTCTCCCCACCCAGAGACTATAAATAATTCTGGGTGATATTTGTGGTGTGATCTCAATGACAGCAGGGATCTCATTGGTGAGATCTACTGTTGTGATAAATTGTCCATATAAATTAAGTGATGTATCTTGGATTATCTGCCTTCTTTCTTTTTCTTTCTAGAAAGCTTCCTTCTGTCACACCATGACCAATGTGCTTGCAGAGTTGGAGAACCAACACCAACATCCTCGTGGACTGTCCACTGGGGTAATGAGATTTTAGAGTGAAGTCAGAGAAGGCTAATGTTCAAAGAGCAATGCTATGGTTTGTGTCTGTGTGTCCCCCCAAAGCCTCATGCGGTGATGGGGCAGGCTTTTAGAGTTTGATTGATTATGGGTGTGAGAGCTCCACCCGCCCTGGGGTGGATAGTTTGCATATGTAAGGGAGAGGAAGAGGCTGCTTGGGGCCATTCCTCCCTTTTAGTGCTTGTTGCTTTTGCTGTGTTCTGCTGCCATGAGCCGTAGCTCTCTGCCATGTGCCATTCTGCCTTGTAACCTGCCAAGTATGGACTGAAACCTCCACAAACTGTAAGCAAAATAAACCTTTCCTTCTTAATTTTGAGCATCAAGTACTTTGTCCCAGCAATGAGAGAAAAGTAACCAAGACAAGCAATAACCTATAGAGGTTCTATACCAAATATTGAACACATTTTTTTAAATAATTTAACAAGGATAGCATTTATCTTGAGCTAGGAGATAAATATAGTCTTGAGCCAGGAGATAAACAGCAAAGGGACAAAGCAGCAAAAACTATAGACATATTTAATCTATTTCACTACTTTGCCAGGCCTGACTCCCAGTAGCAACTTCTACATGAAGGCAAAAGTACTAAATACTAAGCTTTTTTTCTATTCCTTACCAGGAGTAAAATCACGGCAGTATGAGTAGTGTGTTCTTTCTAGACCCTTCAAGGTGATTTCAACTCTCAACAAAGTAGTGTTTAAATAGTGATGGAAACAAAGTAAAAGCAATCAAGGAAAATCTAGTTATAGTTTCAAATTATTATATTCACTCGTGTTACTCCAGTATTAGAGCAAAATAACTTAGACTTCCAACAGGTTACAATCATATCAGATGGGCACGGGTGATTAAACATGCGCCATCTAGTGGTGATCTGTGGCTCTGAGCTTATTGCGTTCCTGGTGGATATGTCGGGGGAGTTTGGCTCATCAGGCTAAATAGCAATCCTCCCCACAAGAAGATAAACAGGACTGCTTGATCTTAGGGTTATGGCTCTGTCTATGTGAGTCAGATCCAAAACAAGCCCAGTGCTCCAATGCCTGTGATCTTTCAACAATGAACCGTAGCTCACAAATTCTGCCCAGGTTTGCAGCTGGCCACATGCGCCCTGCAACTTCCAACCCATCCAGCCTGGGACAGAGCAGACTTGAAATAGGCTCAGGAGGTTCTTGAGAATTTTATTTGTTCTCCCAGGGAAAAGTTAAAGTTCTATAAGTTCGAGAACATGTGGCAATATTTGGCTTGAGTGTCAAGTTGTAGCTGTCATGGGCACAGAGTGTGGAAGTCTTGCAGTTTGTGATGGGAGAGGTAATACACATTAATAAATTTGTTTTCATCTTTGGATAAAGAGCAGTGTCAAAAGGTCTATTTAAAGCACACAGAGATTTCAGGGAAGCTTGGAAAAAAAGAATAAATTTGATGAATGAAAGATAATGAAAACCTAACTCTAGGGTAGAAAGTGGTAACACTACCATGCTCAGAACAAGAGTGTTCCTTTTTTAGAACTAAGAGCATTAAGCAGAAGCTGGGCTCTGCTTGGTCTATGAAATGAAAAAGTGAGTTTGGCAAATAATTAACATGAAAATGATTATCATGGATATGATAAAAAGATTTTACTTTCATTGAGGATTATATCATTGCTTTAATTTCTTTCTGGTTTTTTTTTTTTTTTTTTTCTTTTTGAGACAGGGTCTCCCATGCAGCTCAGGCTGGCCTTGAGCTCACTTTATACAGCCCAGGCTGGTCTTGAACTTACAACAATCCTCCTGCCTAACCTCCCGAGTGCTGGGATTACAGGCATGCGCCACCACACCCGGCTTTTTAATTTCTTTTAATCTGGGAGAGAGATCCACTCCTTTCTCAGTGGTAGGTCATAATGGAACAGCAAAACAGTAGGAGGGGGCTGGGGATTTAGCTCAGCGGCAAAAGCGCCTGCCTGGCAAGCGCAAGGTCGTGAGTTCGGTTCCTGGTACCAGAGAAAAACCAAAAAAAAAAAAAAAAAACAGTAGGAGGTGACAGCAAATGAAAGGAATTTGACTACACCTAGAACTACTAACATTTAGTATCTTATTCAACAAGTCAACTGAGATCTGAAATAAGAATTTATGGGCTGTTCAAAAGATCTGAGTTTTGGGCTGGAGATTTAGCTCAGTCGCACGAGTGCCTGCCTGGCAAGCTGAAGGTCCTGAGTTCGATTCCCAGTACCAAAAAAAAGATCTTGAGTTTTGACGTAGAAAGAGACCAATTCATGCTTCTTTGCTGTCTGAGAAACTTCACAGATTCCTGTGAGTCAAGGTGCCTCACTATTACATTATAGTTATACATGATATAATAGCTATTATATTATAGTAGAATATGATAGAAATTAGTATAGATAGCTAAGCTATGTAGAGATATTATTGGCAGTCAGAGAGGGCTAGGCCCTCAAAGGAGTCAGTGCAGAGGATGAGAACTCATTACAACTGTGGCTGGAGGCAGTTCTGTTGAAGTCCAGGCTTCAAGATAAAGATGGCATGACCAGGCCTGCATGCCTCCACAAGGAATAAGCAATGAATTGAAGATTATACTATAGTTGTTATCACCTGATCCAATGAAGTCTAGCAGACATCAATCACCCTGGTGGGTGACCAAGACCCCTTGATCCATCTCTTCCTAAAAATGTCCTTGTTCTTTCCATGTACACTTGCTATGTGACCTGCTTCCCCATTGGATCCATATTACCTAAGCAGCTATACTTGTAATCTTATTGGTTGATCATAGTTTTGACCCATGTAGTACCCACCTTGTGATTTTGCTCTATGAAACTTCCTCTGTGAAGTGGGGTCTGAATCCACTTTTGGTTCCTCTTCTGTCTCTCAGGAGCCCTCACTTAATAAACTTGTTCCTACTCTTAACCTCTCTAGTTCATTAGAATTCATTCTTCGATTTTGGGGAACATGAACTCA